GCTTAGGGTTGAGCTTGTAAAAGCATCACCTTCAGTGATTAAGTGCTTAATTGCACACTAGTTTCTTTATCAGCTACCTCACCCTGTCAGAGTAAATGAGACAAATGTATGTGAATGCATGTGTGTGTGTATATATGTATGTGTATGTGTGTGTGTGTATGTATATGTATGGGTATAAAGCATATATGGAAGCTGATCAGAATTACATTTCACCTTTGTGAATGTACATTAATGACACTATGTAAAAGACACATCTAATACTTTATGTAGGGCATACGTAAATCTGTGTATCTATGTATTTACGTATGTAGGTTAGCTTAGCATTTTAAAAGCACCGAATCACCTTCTGTGGTTGAGTGTTCAATAAACCCCTGAACTATATGTTTAACACTTCTCTAACCTTGTCCATGGAGGACAGAAGAAAATGTATATATGCTGGTTAGCATTGTAAATGTGTGGCCACGTCTGTGGTAGAAAATAATAATAATAATAAAAAAAAACTGCTTAGGGTGAGAGACGATTGGGCAGCTGTCCTCCACACTCTTCACCACCCATGTCCTCCCAGCAGTAATTGTGTACCTGGTTGTAAACCGAGTAGCGGATCGTGTTCCATCCCTAACAGTAGTGATAGGGATGAGAGAGAGAGATATCCACTCAATATTTAGCGTGAGGTTGTTGGTCGACTCCCAGAACGGGCAGAAGAAGAGTAAGGTAGAGTCGTCTGTAAACAGTTTACGTTTAAAATGGTGTAGCACCCTCTAGCAAGTTACTGGTGTATATAACACAAGAGGCCCTAGTATACTGCCTTGTGGTTATGTCCTTGACGGCTATGTCGTGGCCGGATACATTGGACTGGTACAGATGGCCGGATATATTTGGAACAGAGTCCCAATAGTGCTGAAGTTATGAATGAAGAGGTTAATTGGTAATCATTTTGTTGTCATGGTTAAGTTTAGTTCATTTATTATGCACTCTATACCCATCATGTGAGCGGGAATGGTCTCCATGCCCATTCTGTGGGCAGTAGTGAACCCACATACCCATCCTGTGGGCGGTAGTGGACCCCATACCCATCATGTGGGCAGTAGTGGACCCCATACCCATCATGTGGGCAGTAGTGGACCCCATACCCATCCTGTGGGCGGCAGTGGACCCCATACCCATCCCGTGGGCGGTAGTGGACCCCATACCCATCCCGTGGACGGTAGTGGACCCCATACCCATCCTGTGGACGGTAGTGGACCCCATACCCATCCCGTGGGCGGTAGTGGACCCCATACCCATCCCGTGGACGGTAGTGGACCCCATACCCATCCTGTGGACGGTAGTGGACCCCATACCCATCCCGTGGACGGTGGTATAAAAGGTCACAGAGGCACATAATGGGATCAGACACTGAACCACAAAGTTCACTTGACTAAACAAGTTATAGTCTTGATGAGCTAGTTACACAGTTCAATGTTCACATCAACAATGAGTTAGAGACCAACCACAAGTACTCTATCTAAGCCAAACAACTTACTTATGCGGTGAGCTATAGTTTCATAAGTTGATTTGCTTATTATCACACTTGTCCCCAATCTAGAAAATATCTTTGATTATAATGATTAATGTTATTGCTAGTTAATGGTTTGTAGTCACCTCCTTTGTACTCTGGAGTTACTCTTGACGCTGTGTTTAGTCTGTCAGGAAAAGTTAAGTGTCTGGAGAATTGTTGATGCGAGCCGGCAGCCGGTAGCCGGAACACGCCAGAATTCTGAGAGAATTATAAGGAGATAATACGTATATGTACTTATACCTGTTTTCCGTCTTCTTCCCTCCTACTCTCCCCTCCTTCCTCCTCCCCCTTTTCCACTCTGCATCGTAAAATCGTATCATCAATGGCCAGAAAATCCCTCTGGTCTGTAACCCCTATGGAACATAAAAACAAAAACACTACAGGCCTTGAAGACACCAGCTTTATAAGGGCGATGAAGTTCTCTCATCTCGCGTTGATCTCACCTCCTAGAAAGCGAACCACATAGAGGCGGGACTAAAGAGCCAGAGCTCAACCCCCGCAAGCACATTAGGTGAGTACATGGTCATGGATTTAGTCCAAGTAATAACTTTGAAGATGTCATCAAGGCAGTGTTGAGGAGTCTTGGTCTGCTAAGATGTTTGTTGTGATGGGGAGGAGAATGCTTGAGGTATCCGGATGGTGGGCTGTGAGAACGGTGGCGTAGACGGATCTTGCGAGCGCTTACCGGAACCGGGCCTAAATGGGGAGCCAGCAGGGGAAACATTTTTTTATTTATGATCTAGTAGTTTAGTTCACAGCCAGCCAGTCAGCCAGCCAGCCAGCCAATCAGCCAGCCAATCAGCTTGCTTGCTATAGAGCCACCCAACTTACCAACCAACCAACCAACCAGCCTAACAATCAACTTAGCAACCAGTCATCCACCAAACCTGAAAGCTGGAAAGTGAGGTCCTCAATGGCAGTCATACCTAAGGTGGTGGTAGTGGGAGAAGCGTTCGTGTTTTGTACACAGGTGGGTACAGGAGCAGATGACTGTAGAGAGAGAAAGAGAGAGAGAGAGAGAGGAAGCAGGCTCCATACACAGCTTTAAATGTAGATATGACAGAACCCAACGGCAGTTGAGTTGATTGGCGAGACCCCAAGAGTCGAAGCTCATCCCCCTGCAAATTCAACTAGGTGAGCATTGACACCGTCAGACTCACTCTATCCCAATCCATCAATATCTCTACCATCCCCCTACTCCACCCTTCACTGTGTCCTCGCTACTTCCTCCACCATATCCCCAACATCTCCACCACCACCAACACCACCACAACCACCAACGCCACCACAAACACCACCACCACCATCAGGAGTTGGTTACATAGAGAAGCCTGTAGAAGATGAGAGATTACCTCCGTCGGGGAGCACAATAAGATGAGGGACTTTGTGTGAACTCCAATGGCAGAGAGAAATGGAAGGAAAGACAGAAAACGAGATGATGGGAATTCATTGCTTGCAAATATTGCAATGCAACGGAGCAGTTCATATACCGCTCAACAAGGAACTGGGCAAGAAAAGTCAATTCCTGGTTTAACAGGAAATTAATTGGAACTTAAAGGACAAAAAATGCCTGAAAAAAACTATGGAGAACTAGGAACTGAAGACTTGAACCACTAATGAGAACCACCGGAGTTAGGAATGAAGGAGAAAGACAATTTGGAAATGCCATTGCTTTAAAATACATAGTTTTATGGATCAACCAAAGCTGTTTTATTCTAAAAAAATTATATTCCTCAGATCACAGGCGAAAGAGAGATTCTAGAAGAACTGGTCCCAAACCTGCACACATAAATAACGCCACATGAGACCAGGAGGCATGGCAGGATGTGCAGAATACCCCCGTTGAAGAGCAGAGGTGCAACAGGTACTCTGAGAGAGAACTCTATCAACATCAGAGGCCCGAGACTGTTCAACACGCTTCCACTACACATAAGGGACATAACTGGCCGACCCCCCACAGTGTTCAAGAGAGAACTATCAACATCAGAGGCCCGAGACTGTTCAACACGCTTCCACTACACATAAGGGACATAACTGGTCGACCCCTCACAGTGTTCAAGAGAGAACTATCAACATCAGAGGCCCGAGACTGTTCAACACGCTTCCACTACACATAAGGGACATAACTGGCCGACCCCTCACAGTGTTCAAGAGAGAACTATCAACATCAGAGGCCCGAGACTGTTCAACACGCTTCCACTACACATAAGGGACATAACTGGCCGACCCCTCACAGTGTTCAAGAGAGAACTATCAACATCAGAGGCCCGAGACTGTTCAACACGCTTCCACTACACATAAGGGACATAACTGGCCGACCCCTCACAGTGTTCAAGAGAGAACTATCAACATCAGAGGCCCGAGACTGTTCAACACGCTTCCACTACACATAAGGGACATAACTGGCCGACCCCTCACAGTGTTCAAGAGAGAACTATCAACATCAGAGGCCCGAGACTGTTCAACACGCTTCCACTACACATAAGGGACATAACTGGCCGACCCCTCACAGTGTTCAAGAGAGAACTATCAACATCAGAGGCCCGAGACTGTTCAACACGCGTCCACTACACATAAGGGACATAACTGGCCGACCCCTCACAGTGTTCAAGAGAGAACTATCAACATCAGAGGCCCGAGACATGGAAACCAAGGCTGCAAGATGAAAGGCCGGAAAAAACAATGGATGACATTGTCTACTCACTCTAGAAGAGGTAAACAAACTACCGGAGGAATTAGATGTGACCAATTCAATGGTTCCAGACCTAATCCCACCCATGGCTGCTTGAGGAGGCTGTAGAAGTATTTGTCACTATTTGTCTATTATTGTTTAATAAAATGCTTAAGACAGGAAAGATCAAAAGTCTAAAAGTCTAAAAAAAAATCTAAAGAGAAGTCTTAAAAAAAGACAAATGTAGTCCCAATAGTGAAAAAAACATAGAAAGGGGTACTAAATTACAGACCAGTGTTGACCAATCTACACATTAGAGAATTAAGGGACGACGACGTTTCGGTCCGTCCTGGACCATTCTCAAGTCGATTGTGAGTCGATTGGGACCTTCAGAAATGATTCTTATGGGATCCCACAAGCCTCGGTTCTGGGTCCGCTCATGTTTCTAATATATGTGAACGTCCTATACCCGAATGAGTGAGTTTGTACATGTCTAATGCTTCCAGCTGACGCAAAGCTAATTAGGAATCTTGACAAAACAGAGGACTGCAGAAAGTTACAGGAGGACATTGATAAACTCCCGGAGTGGTCAAACAAATGGTTGCTGGAGTTATATCTCATAAAGTGTAAGGCAATGAAGATCGGGAAGGGGACCGTGTATTGGTGGTCAACAGTACTGGTACCGTGTACTGGTGGTCAACAGTACTGGTACCGTGTACTGGCTGTCAACAGTACTGGTACCGTGTACTGGTGGTCAACAGTACTGGTACCATGTACTGGTGGTCAACAGTACTGGTACCACGAAAGTGTAGTATCTGTTCTTATCAGCTTAATATCTGATACGATCCCCATGTGGGATCCTCGATATTAAACTGATTTTTGCAACATGGCGAAGTGCTAGGAGCTTGCTCCACCTTTGCCGCGGATCGGCCCGGTATTGCAGTACCTCTAGAGAGAGAGAGAGAGAGAGAGAGAGAGAGAGAGAGAGAGAGAGAATGAGATACGAACAAAGAGAATGAGACAGAGACAAAGAGAGACACCAGGAAACAGAGACAAGTACAGAAAGAGACAGATAACCCATGCTAACTACACATACTAACACCTGAAGCAGGTATTGGCTCTAAAAACACAAACAACACACAACACAGTTACCCCAACAAACAACCGTCAAACTCTCAAGTTACCCGTCAAAACATTTAGTAAACACATATATTTTCTAACCTACTTTAACAAGGTTCACAGCCTATCTCCACACACAGCTGTTAATACTAATCCCTACTTGCTAAGAGTAATTGGTCAGGTACGGAGTCACTCGGAGCAACGCTGTATCCACTATAACTTCGGTTTCAACTCTTTTACCCTGTCGTAGCTGAGTCGATTAAGGCAGTGTCTGGGATGCTCCCGGATGCAGGTTCGAATCCTCGTCACGGCCCTTGTGGATTTGTTCATTGGAAGTATCGTGTTTCACTGCAGCATTGTCTAGTGTTTCATGGTGTGTTATCCAGCAGCCCGTCCTCCAAACAAAGACCCAAAAGTCCATTCCATGCACCCGCCAAACCCGCTGTTTATGCATGAAAACGGTTTATACACGACTCACAACTGCTGACGTTCGAACACTTCCGGAACAAGTGCTTCACTGACGACTTGTGTTCGAACCACAACGCTGTAAATGCTTCACCCACGTACTACAAATACAAATAATCGCCAACAGAACCTAAACACCTAACCTAACCTAACCTATATATACACAATATGCTAATATATTATAATATTAATTTATACTTGAGAAAATTCCCGTTTTGAATGAACAGCATGTTAAAATGTATGAATGCGTCTGTGGGGTCGACCGCTGGATGGAATGGACTTGAGTCGAGGACGGGTTGCAGCATTGTCTAGTGCTTCATGGTGTATTGATTCATTCATTCGTGCTTCATGGGGTGTTGCCAAGTGCCCACAGCTGCCCTGGTCTGGCACCCATTTCAAGAGTGCCTCAAACTCTTCCCCATAACAACATGAAAACAAACATTAACATTGCCAGTGCCATGGTAAACTAACATTCACAGTAGACTAACATTAACAGTAAACTAACATTCAGGGTAAACTAACATTCACGGTAAACTAACGACAACTCACTCTCAAGGCCGAACAACTAAATTATGAACGAAACAAAGTGAATTAAATTATTTTACTGCTCGTTCGTTCAACTTTATTAATTAAACACTCATTAAATATTTGACAATTAATTATACTCAATCAGTTTACCACGTAATAAACATGGAAGTGATATACGCGTCCAATATGGTGAGTGCTGCTTCGTGCTTCATGGTGGTGCTTCGTGCTTCATGGTGGTGCTTCGTGCTTCATGGTGGTGCTTCGTGCTTCATGGTGGTGCTTCGTGCTTCATGCTTCATGGTGGTGCTTCGTGCTTCATGGTGGTGCTTCGTGCTTCATGGTGGTGCTTCATGCTTCATGGTGGTGCTTCATGCTTCATGGTGGTGCTTCATGCTTCATGGTGGTGCTTCGTGCTTCATGGTGGTGCTTCGTGCTTCATGGTGGTGTTTCGTGCTTCATGGTGGTGCTTCGTGCTTCATGGTGGTGCTTCGTGCTTCATGGTGGTGCTTCGTGCTTCATGGTGGTGTTTCGTGCTTCATGGTGGTGTTTCGTGCTTCATGGTGGTGTTTCGTGCTTCATGGTGGTGCTTCGTGCTTCATGGTGGTGCTTCGTGCTTCATGGTGGTGTTTCGTGCTTCATGGTGGTGCTTCGTGCTTCATGGTGGTGCTTCGTGCTTCATGGTGGTGCTTCATGCTTCATGGTGGTGCTTCGTGCTTCATGGTGGTGCTTCATGGTTCATGGTGTTGCTTCGTGCTTCATGGTGGTGCTTCGTGCTTCATGGTGGTGTTTCGTGCTTCATGGTGGTGTTTCGTGCTTCATGGTGGTGCTTCGTGCTTCATGGTGGTGCTTCGTGCTTCATGGTGGTGCTTCGTGCTTCATGGTGGTGCTTCGTGCTTCATGGTGGTGCTTCATGCTTCATGGTGGTGCTTCGTGCTTCATGGTGGTGCTTCGTGCTTCATGGTGGTGCTTCATGCTTCATGGTGGTGCTTCGTGCTTCATGGTGGTGCTTCGTGCTTCATGGTGGTGCTTCATGCTTCATTGTGGTGCTTCGTGCTTCATGGTGGTGCTTCATGCTTCATGGTGCTGCTTCGTGCTTCATGGTGCTGCTTCGTGCTTCATGGTGGTGTTTCGTGCTTCATGGTGGTGCTTCATGCTTCATGGTGCTGCTTCGTGCTTCATGGTGCTGCTTCGTGCTTCATAGTGGTGCTTCGTGCTTCATGGTGGTGCTTCGTGCTTCATGGTGGTGCTTCGTGCTTCATGGTGGTGTTTCGTGCTTCATGGTGGTGCTTCATGCTTCATGGTGCTGCTTCGTGCTTCATGGTGGTGCTTCGTGCTTCATGGTGCTGCTTCGTGCTTCATGGTGGTGCTTCGTGCTTCATTCGTGCTTCATGGTGCTGCTTCGTGCTTCATGGTGTGCTTCGTGCTTCATGGTGGTGCTTCGTGCTTCATGGTGGTGCTTCATGCTTCATGGTGGTGCTTCGTGCTTCATGGTGCTGCTTCGTGCTTCATGGTGGTGTTTCGTGCTTCATGGTGGTGTTTCGTGCTTCATGGTGGTGTTTCGTGCTTCATGGTGGTGCTTCGTGCTTCATGGTGCTGCTTCGTGCTTCATGGTGCTGCTTCGTGCTTCATGTTATGGGTGTTGTGCTTCACAGGAAAGTGAGTGAGCGTTGTACAAAGCAACAATGAGGGAGTGTGATGACGGAACCCCTCCATCCCCCATAACCCCCCTCCCCCCCTACCCTCATATACAGCATCCAGGATGCAAGATGCTCCACTCATCTCCGCTCTCCAAGCATCAATATCGCGCAGCCTCCCTTTCATCTCTCGAATTTACCACCAAACAAAAAAAAAAGAAGAGGCTCAATTTGATTAGTTTGCAACGCTGACAACTTTTATTAATCAAGATGTCGATGACTTTTTGAGAATTTGTAACGTTGTGTTCAACTCTGACCAAGATGAGTTGAAATTGATGCCGGAAGAGTAATCAATTCATCTGACTTCTGTTGAGTTTAATCTGTGTGCGAGTGTGTTGATGATTTTGATGTTAATTGGTGTTGATGTCAGGTATAAATGCTCCGGCTTGTTATTGACTTGATGTCAGGTGATGTGACACACAAAAGGGGTTGTGTGGAGGTGACATCTGTTACGTTGGTGAGTCTGTCAGCTCCGGTAAATTGATGTCAGAGGTTAATCAGGCTGTTGCCAGGTGGCGCTGGCATACTCTTTCCCTGGAGAGAAGGTTTACTGTCATAATACAACCACATTGACACACATTGTCTTTCAGAAACACGATGCGGGCCACCATAGCCCATTTGAACACGATAATACACCAACCGTGGTCTTAGGGAATCAAATCAGCCGCTGAAGACGCCCTGACAATGTCGTTAGAGAGCCAAGCTAGTTACCCCCCAATCAGCGACAAAGAGCAAAGCTAGTTAGACGCGTGTAGTGCCACAGAGTGCCAGACTCGATCGTTACACCCCCCCCCCACTTTCCCCATCCTATGGGGAGGGGAATGAAGGGGGGTGAGGAATATATCTACCTTACACCCCTCCCCTATACTCCCTTCTGCACCCTCATGCCTTACCCCATAAAAAATTCCCAAGTACATAGTTTCAATTCGTCTATTCTGAAATAACAACAAGGGTTCAGACGCACGTATACATGAAAATATACATTCAGCTACAGTGAACCGCAGGTCCATGAGGACTCATTACTCTGCCTTCATTCTGGTGTCACATTAACCCTCACTGCTGTCTGACCTCATGTTTCTGGCCCTTCGATAAATGAGACAAGCGCAGTTATACTTTTCTGGCGACAACATGGATGTACTTTAGTCTATCAGAACCACTCGTGTTATAGAAAATAGGATGTCGACGAGGTCACGAGAGAGAGAGAGAGAGAGAGAGAGAGAGAGAGAGAGAGAGAGAGAGAGAGAGAGAGAGAGAGAGAGAGAGAGAGAGAGAGAGAGAGAGAGAGAGAGAGAAAGACAGCTTCACTCAGCTCCAAGATGGAAAGCGAGTTGCATTAAGAGGAAATGTTTATATTGGACGAAAGGAATGTTTACACATTAAACACATCTAAACATTCCAATATATATATACCAACATTTCCATACAATCTGATGCACCCATTATGTTATGACAACCTACGTTATTCTAAATATATTGAGGATACAGATAATGGGGGGATAATATAATAGCAACAGAACAACACTAATATAGTGATAAAAAGGTTGTGATATTGATAATGACATGATGGTGATATTGTCAAATTCTAATTCAAATATCTCATGCTCAAAGATGTGTGTAAATTTACAGTTGGGTCAGTTTACACAAATTTGCAGTAAATTATTTACCTCAGAGAAAATCAGAGTAAAAGTATATGTATCTATAATTATATGCTGCATACTCAAAAATTTAGATTTAGAGGCTGTAAATCAGAGATTTACAATTCATTAGACTTGTCAAAATCAAAATCAGAAACCATGTAAGTAGTAACTTGCAGAAATCATCACACTAACGGCTGGACTAAACGGCTGAACACGAGTCTAAATCAGACTTGACACTGCTGGCATAAGAGTGACAGGTAACAGTGACACTGACCTAACATAGCACTGTAGCGACCGAGTGTACGGTGAAGACTTACAGAGCAATCACATCGTCAAGTTTGCAAAGTGGAGGCACTTTCCAGCCTCCCTGAGTTACGTAGACAGACGGTGAGTCACAATAACCTAGCTGAAGACTTGAAGACCAGACCACACATCAGAAAATGGAGAGACGACGACGTTTCGGTCCTTCCTGGACCATTATCAAGTCACAATCGACTTGTGAATGGTCCAGGACGGACCGAAAC